AAAAAATCAGTATTTATGTTCATTTCTATTGCTATTGGTAAAATGCCAGCTGCCAGAATTATCAGTGCAAAAATTATAAAGAACATCACATAATGAGCAATTGGTAACCTAACTTATTTAATGACATGTCTACTAGACTATAGCTATAGCAGCCATAAAACATCTAGGAAGTTAAAATAATTAAATCCAATGTGGTAGTGGTTCACCAAAATATTTCCCATTGCTGACATTTCCCACTTTTAAATTATATTAATAAAAATTGAAAATTGATTGGCATGAATTTCTATGTGTAATGTTTATGTTTTGGAGGTAATGCCAATGTTTACATATCAAGAAGCAAAAGAAAAGTTAATATCAACACTGTGTGGGGCACACATGGTAGTGCTCACTGATACATTATTAAATTTCTGTTAATGAAGCCTCTATATAAAAACAGAGTTACATGTCATTCTTACCTTTACAGCTTCTCCTATCTTCTTTTATTTCAAATCCATCCTCACAATAACATCTTGAACTGTTTCTGACCATGGCACATTTATACTGACAATTCAACTGCTGGCAACTGGGTAGCAATTCTGTAGAGGAAATATAAGCATATTATCTATATTTCATTGAGTGCATATGTTTATTGTTTAAATTTAGGTAATATTTATATTTATTCAGTGCATAGCCCTAATAATATAGTTTGGATTGTTCTCCAGAAGAGGTTCTGTGAATAGTCTAGAGAAGAAAAAAAAAATCTATTCCCTCTAAATTAATGTTGGTTTGCATTTGCTAAAGTATTGTTAATAAAATTTAGGATCACTCTGTTTGGTCTTCATTTTTTAGCTTATTACTATGTTCAAAATCACCAAAACATTTCATAAACTGATAAATTAAATTACTTCAAGAGGAAAAATGTCAGCTCAATGGTAGATTTCACTACCTATGTCTTTCCAATCTGACATATCAATTGATTTTCTATCTTTTGAGAATTTGTTTGGATTTACCTACTGATTCATGTGTAACCTTCATAGCAATCAATGGAAATATATTGATTTTTATTTTTTATTTTATTAATTTTATTTTTATTTTATTAATTTATTTTTCATTGGTGGAGAAATATTAGAAAAATTCTTTACATAAATATATTTCATTATACCTGAATTGTTTCAAGGCAAATACATCATTGAAGCAAAGTTAGCAAACCCTCAGAGTCAACTGGGATTCAATATGATAAAAGTATGAAATAGAGATGAATTGATGGGAGTGTTGCAAAAATAATTTCCAACAGGATAAGATTTGCTAAACTAGATAAATACTACAGATTTAGATAGAATGCATGACTGTTCAAAATAGGGTTTTTAGTGGATTGTGACAATACTGTTGTTTTCTCCATTTTCCCCAGAGAGAAAAATAAGGATTTTGAAGACTAACATTACATAATTCAGAATATGTTAATATTCCCACAAGTTTATCTGGTTCTTCAGAAAAATATTATAAATTATGATAAAAAATAAATTAAAAGTCTAGAGTAAAAGGTGAAAGATTTATACGATCTGAATAGAAACCAGAGTATAAGTCTAAAGTGAAGAAAGAAAATCTGGAACATTCCAAATTCAGTACAAGGTATTAGACTAAAAGTGTAATTATCTGTAGTATTTCCTTTACTCAGTTATTTTTCAACACTTATACATTTTAAACATCTTCTCTTCTTAAAACTCCAAATATCCTCCTTAGTATTCACACAGATTACTAAGCATATCCTTCCTAATATTCACACAGAATACTAAACCAAGATTCATTCTTGGTTTTCAAACTTTGTTGAGCTCATAATCAATTCTTGTCCTCTTGGTTTTCAAACTTAGTTGAGCTCATAATCAAAGCTCTCCCCT